ACACCACTCAGACAGCCAGCAATTTAAGGAGAACATGCGGCTAAACATGTCACTCCTGGTCTGATTGGGGAGGGGACCAGAGAAAACTACAGAGTCCCACATTGTTTTGCAAAATGCAATACCAGTCAGGGTAATGACCTCAGTGTGTTATCCAATCGGTCTGCCACATGTGATAACACCACTGTCTTTGTTAATCTATTAAACATTCAGACACTTATGAGCAACAACCATCTAATCCAGCATCTCTTCACCAACCGTAAGTTAGACTTTCCCAGCTTAACTGAGACATGGCAACAACCCCATGACTTCTCTGAGGGTTGTTTACATCTGTGGAGCTTGTGGAACTGGGCAGGCAGGAGACTTACCAGTAATGTTTGGCTAGAAGTGGAAGGAATGTGGGCATGGGGAGATGGGAGTGGGTCAGCTAAGCCTGTCAGAGGTTTCATGTGTCTGCCTGGGAGCAGGTCAGCAGTGACTTAGCGCACATACAACCCGTCTGCACCAATTACATGTTGGCTAAAATAACACAAACACTTTATTTTCTTTTAGAAATGATTAAGCTACCTAACACTCAGAAAGGCAAGCCGTTTCCTTCATGTGGACTTGGACTGGACTCAGCTTTTTGTCAGACTTGGGGACCATGCAGTCTTTTGATGTCACATTTTCGGATTGCCTTGGATTGCTTGGAACCCAGCAGAGTAGGTACTAAAAAAGTACCTGGTAACATGTGCTGTGACCTAGTGGAAAACCCTAAAAACATCAAGCCGACCTGAGTAGGTACTAATGAAAAAGGGCTACAAATCTTGCAGGAGCAGGTTGGTTGCTGATGCTGTGGGCAGAGGCAGGTGGCTAAAAATAGACAGGGGGTCCCAAGAATGCTAGCAGGATGGAGGGTACAACTGATGTTAGTAACAAAATTAAGGCTGGAGTGAACCAGTGGAAAAGTTTTAACATCGTTAAGAACCAAGAAGGTAAAGAGCTGGACTTGTGACAAGTGTGGCAAAGTTCTTGTATTTCATAGTTTCACATCGCTGCTGTTCAGTGACATCTACCTGTGTGTTTTACACTGGCAGGATGAAAGCTTTCAAAGTACAGACTGCTGCATGCATTTGTGATCTGGATGGAAAAAGCACGAGTTAATAATAATAGGTTTAAATGAGCCGCCGCTGGCAGCCAGATTGAAAAAATCGTCCTGCACAGGGCTCTAGTGCAGAATGGTCCAGCCAATGCCCCCAACCTCCTCCCCACTACCCCTCTGTTGAACTTCTGCCAAAGATCTTGCAGACTGAGACATTTACAGCACACCCACACTATATGTTTGGGCAAGTCAGGCCTTTCCAACATCCTCCCTTTCAACAAAACCAAATAATTTCCTCCCATTTATGTAGTGGAAATGTCAACAAGCGCTGTGTGGCAGGCAGGAGTTGGACCCAAAATTCAGGCTCTCAGACTCGAGGGATGAACTCAAAATCACAGCTTTATTGGCTGGCAAGGAAGATGCATACAAAACAAAGCCACACTGGGAACTCTAAGTTCAAGAAAACACAGGGAGCGAGTAACACAGCAATGAGGGACGACGCGACACTGACTCAGAGAAACACAGGGCTTAAATACACTGGGAAATAACGAGGGGAATGAGACACAGGAGGGGAGCACAGCTGGGAGAAATCAGACATAACCAGACCAAAGGGAAGCGAAACTCAATACATTCACCTAGGACACAGACCTTCAAAGTAAAACAGGAAATGTAACACAGATGCGGACTGACTAGGGGAGACAGAGCAACTAAGAAACTCAGAGACCAACATAAAGGAGGCACAGAGGGCGGCTACTAAACACTCAGAAAACTAACCAGAATACAAGAAACCCAAACTAAGATACTAGACTATAGAACAAACTGAGGCAACAAAGACAACTTAGAACATGCAACATAACACAAAAACCCTGAGACACAAGAAACTCACAACACTGGGTCAGGAGCTCCAGGATCCTGACAGGAAATGTCCAAGAAAACTACCAAAGATAAGACAATCTGGGAGGTATAAAATAACTTCAAAGCTGTTGTGACAGAATAAAGAACCCACGCACAGCACTGTAAATTGTCTTTATTTCCAGACTGTTGTTGTGGCAGCGGTCCAGCTGCCCTCCTCGTTCTTCATGCCACACACAGATCTCTCTTCTAGTCTCGGTCGTTGTGTCCTTGGGCAAGTCACTTCACC